AGAAATATAAAATTTATACGAGTATACCACATATAATTCCTATTATTATTAAAAAGCTTACTTGAAAAAACTTAAAAAGTATACTTTGCGAGAATTAAAGAGTTTTTACTTAAAAAAAGTCCTTAATCGTTTTTTGTTTTACATAACTTTGGTGCTTTTCTGCAGCAATGTTTCGCCATTTTTTAGGGATAACAGGAAGGCTGGTGTCGCCTCTTTTTGTTGTTCTATGTATTCAGTAGCATTTTCGACAGCTTTAAGTTCATCGTCACTGTCTTCATCGTCCTCGCTAGGTTCATTTTCATCATTGATGATATTAACGATCATTTCATGGGATCAAGTTGTTAGATTTTGTTTTCCCGAGTGTTTGGAAGATAAAATTCAGATTTATTTTTCGGTGGTATTTTTAAAAATAAACTAGTATGAAAAAATCCTTAAAATATTTGATAGCTCGGTTAAAGCGGAAACTCGGATAACCGGGGCTCGGATTATCGGGACTCTACTGTATATATATATATACACACACATATATATATATAACGTCATTGCCGAATGGAAGGATTAAAACAGGTCTTAGGTCGGGAAAGAGGGTACAAAATTTATTTATTATTTATTAGACAAGAGCAGTCATGAGAGTGTGTGAAAGTGCACACGAACAGTTGCGCTCCTTGGTTATATGTTAGGGAAAATCTTGCAAAGTAAAATCCGTAAAAAGTCTCAATTTAGGGAAAGAGGGAAATCTTAGTAGTTGTTATTGGTTTATGAAATAGATCGAGCATTTCCCACACAAAGCGAAGGGGAAAGTGTCCTGCTTTTAATTAAATGCATACTTGAGCCAAAAATAGATTTAAGAACAGGATGTGGCTTTTAAAAGTTTGAGAAAGTATTTCGATTAGAATAATTAATTAGGATAACATAAAAAGATTAATAGAAGCTTTTTATGTTACATCCCCCCTCGCCAAAAATGTTTAATTACAATCAAAAAATTTTGAAATTATCCATTTGCAAACTCTTCCCTATGGTAGAAGTACAATTGAAATGAAAAAAAAATCAAATTTGTAATGTTAACAATATATAAAGGTAATATGAATTATAAAACATTTACATATGTACTCATGGTAAAAACAAGCAAAAATCTGTAGTAGCATTATCAGCAAATTTAAGATTTCCATTTTCAACAGTTTTTTTTTTTTCACTATAAGAAGTATTCCTCATTATAACACAATTTAAGTTAACTCTTCAATCAATATGATAAAAATTTATTGACATCTCTTAAAAATGTTGTAAGTAAAACACAAAATACAAAAATCAGTTTTACAGGAAAAATTTCAATCTGAAATTAGATTTGAGTATTGTTTACCTTGTTTGAAAACAACATAATATTCAAAATGACACAGTGGTTGTTTTTCTGAAGACCAAGACTTCAGTATTGTCTTTATTTCAATTTATTTATTATGAACCTTTCATATTTATCACTTTAATATCAAAATATCCACACAAAAACTTTTTTTTTATGTCCGAAATTTACCTTCTGTAACATTTTTTCTTTTCTCTATTTAACATTACCCACGCCATACTGTCACAGATCATAGGGTGAGCCACATTCATACAGCACACAACAGACAACAATTACAGAGAGGGAAACATCCATGCCCCTGAGTGGGATTCGATCCCGCGGCCAATGGCTTCACAGTCAGGCACGCTGACCGCTACGCCACCTGGCCGTTAAACTCCATTTATAGATTCCCTGCATTTTATATCATTCATTAAAAATAAGTTTGTTCTTATATTCCAGTTCTCACATAGTATTCAGATTCAAAACAAGTTTCCTTCGGAATGTGTAGTAAGATTTCCTGGTGTAAGCATATTTAATAGATTTTTCTGTAAAGTATATAAATGTGAAGGGGCAAAACTGTAAATGTGCCACTTCTCTAGGTTTTTAATAGCATAGTTATTTTGACTATACATAAAAAGGAAATATTTGGTGACCGAAGGATTACCACTACGGTTAAATCATATGATACATATGATGGAGGCAACAGAGACTTCCTTTTCTAAATTTATTTCGATAACTGAAAAAGGATTTAAATTCAAGGAGAAACAAGAAAAAAAACCTGAATGTTGATGAAATTAACTTTAAAATTTGCAGAATGATAAAAAAAATTTTGTCAAATCAAAGAGTACTCTCTTTCTCATTAAATTGGAAATAAATTAAAATTTAGACGATTCCCTCTAAAATTAAGAAAATTGTTTTTCAATTTTTTTCCGCGCATGCCCTGTATCAAAGAACAACTTTAATTACTTATATTTTGCACAGTTTTAAACAATTTCTTTTTCAAATTTTAAAACAATTTGTTTGAAAACTATCTTTTTTTTAAAATTTTATTGAATATTTAGAAAGTTATAGCTGAAAAAAGTAATATATATATATATATATATTTTATACTGAGTCAAGCTTTTTGAAATGTGTGTATTTCAATGGTAAATTTTAATCTTTTTTCTCCTCTCAGTGAGGGGGGGGGGGAATCTCAGTGAGTTAAACAGAAATAACTAAATAAACAATAGTGTGTTTTATATACTAGAGTGATATATATATAGAGTGATATACATCTTTTTTTCTGTAAGGAATGAATAATGTAATGTATATAAAATGCAGCTTTCTGACTCATTGTCTTGTTTGGTAATTGAATTTTAATAATAATACAAAATTTATTTTATAATTTATTTCTTGAGTAAAAGATATGCTATAAAAGTCTTTTTCAAGTTTGCAAAAATGTTTAAGATTTTTAAAGTATTTCGAATTTGTAACTGAAATAGTTTGTATTTTACCTGTGGAAAAAGGGGAAAAACATTAATTTGTCAGTTTATTAGAAAAATAATGTACCAAAATTAATATTTATGTTTCGAAAATTGCCTACATAATGTATAAATGTTTTTTTTCTTCAGGAAAATGTGAATTTTGATGAGGAGCTAAATAAAATTGACTGCGCAGCTCATCTGTGAGATGGAAAAAAAACAGAGGATTTGANTACCAAAATTAATATTTATGTGTCGAAAATTGTCTACATAATGTATAAATGTTTTTTTTCTTCAGGAAAATGTGAATTTTGATGAGGAGCTAAATAAAATTGACTGCGCAGCTCATCTGTGAGATGGAAAAAAAACAGAGGATTTGAAGTTTTTCTTACGTTAGATAAGATTATTGTAGATGTAGTCACTTACTCCATTATAGCAATTGACTTTTTGTTTAAGAGTGACTTTGTTTTCAATGTAATGTACAGTAAATCGAGCTCTATGCTCCTCTCGTTTCTTCAGTTTATGCTCTATGAGCTGAGAAAGGTGCTTCTGAAAACACCTTTTTGTAGAGTGAACACATAAGGAATATATGTATAAGAAAACATATACAATAAAATATCTTTTTTTTCTGTAATTTAGTTGTTTTATCCACTAATGCATTCTCAAATTTCTTATTAAAAGTCTAAACCCTTTGCAGTTGTATCATAGCTTTCAGGCAGCAATTCTTTTTTCAAGGATGCTGACTATTCCACTTCGAGAAGACATTTTATAAAGTGGTAAAGAATTAAAAACTAAGACCTGCATAGTTTTGCTGACATGAATGTTACATATATTTAATAATTATCATTGATGACTTAATGTGATTAATGTGTTACACATGCATATAACGTTATATAAAATCAAGTTAAAAATTACCAAATATGCTATTATGTTTTTTTTCTTACAATTAAATTGCGTTCAGTTCATTTGTAAATTACAATTAATCAAATGAGCGATTAAAACGGGGAGAACCTGACATTCTCAGGGTGTTTTACTTTAGCTCCAAAAATTAGGAAATAGTCAGGGCAAGTTGCAATTTTTTCCTATTTTATACACGGAAAATAACCAGTCTTAAAATTGTCGGTAACAGTAGCTAGTTATTGAGAATCGAGTTAAACAATTCTAAATCTATTACAACTATTTCTTGCAAAAATTTTACATTTTAGTTTAACTGAAATGTTCCCATCCTCATTTAATTATATATATACTTTTTTACACAGAAAATCTAATATTTGCTTTTACAAATAAAATAATCAAATTTTTCTGATGAAAAATTTAATAATATCGATAAAATATGGTATTGCTTTTAGTTGTAATTTTCCTGGAAAAGTTGGGGAATTTTTTTCTGAAATTGAGTGGGTACCCTGTTAAAAAGACGTTATGCTTTTGCCAATATGTAAAAATATTTTTCTAAATATATTTTAGCAAACTTTTTTATAAATAAAGTAATAACTAGAAGAATTCCCATCCAAATAAAATGAAGTGTACTTGTAGAAGAATTATCAAAGTTACATTTCCAAGAACTAGTATGGAAATGGTTGAGTACGATTTAACGTACTAATAAAGTCACTTTAACTACTATTTGTATACCTAAATAAAATGAAAAATTATGTAAACTGTTAATAACAAATTTGTTTCAATACAAAAAGTTAAAAAAATCCTTACAATTTTGTACTGAAGTCTGTCACAATGCTTTCGATCTCTAAAGAGATCTCTAAAGATCTTGCAATTATATTCAGCATATTGTTAAATACAGATGGATTACTAGGCTTTCACTTTTTTTATCAACTATCACTGTTTAGTTTTAAAATAAAAAATAAAAACTTATTAATTACCGAGCAAACCATGAATGAAATTTAAAAGAAATGAATGCTGATAAATTATTTCTATCACGCATGCTAAAAATATTTTTCTTTTCATCTTATTTATGATAAGCACTAAAAGATTCAGTGAGTAGTCTGAAAATGATCAATTTAATTCAAATGTGATTTAAAAGACATTCAAGTCAAAAGAATAAATAATGATTGTATGATTAAAATATATTCACTGAAGTGATGCTATTTATGAATAAAAAATTAGTGAAATTCACACAAATTCAAGTTAAAAGGACCCAATTCAAATAATACTTAAAATCACTCAAACACGAGTGAAAATCCCTAAAGTTTGAGTGAAAACGATCCACTCAAGTAATACTGAAAATCGCTCAAACACGAGTTAAAATCACTCAAGTTTGAGTGAAATTTTTTTCATTCAAACATGAGCTATTTCCATATAACTCTTTCACTTGAGTGATTTTAACTCAAGAAGAGAAGGCCGCTTTTTTCCAGATGAAAGAGTTAAATAGCACTCAAGTTGAGTTATTTTCACTAGTTCATTTTAAGTGAGTATAATTAGGTGAGTACCTTTGCTGGAGTTGCTACTTTAATTCCATCTTGGTTTTCATCTTGTTCAATTTCTCTCAGGCTCAATGTTTGGTTAAGATAGTTAAGAACTTCAACTTCTCCTTGTCTCGATCCTCCCACTAACGCAAAAATAACAAAAGAAATTTTTAATGGAATTTCTTTTCAGCTATCTGTGATGCCACAGCATATTTCTTAGCTTTTTTTAAATTTCTTCATTTTTCAAAGCTTTATTACTTATTTTTTTAATAATTCTTGATCGAATTGTAATTAAATTAAATCAATTAGTTAATTTTTATTAATATTTATAAAAGGCAAACATAAAATATTTTCATTCTTTTCTTATCGATCAATGTAACGGCTAACTTTTTATTTCAATAGTAATGTAAGACTCATTCATTCACTGTCATGACTCATCGAAAACAAAAATCTATTTATAACTCTTTACTTCTTGCCACAAATATGTTTCAGTTATATGTTTATACTAATTCTCACAGTCTTGTTGACGATCACCAAAATATTTTTAAATCTAATATTGATTATTGGGGGTTGGCTTTATTTTTGGCGAAGTATCACTTTCACCAACCTCGGATCTCTTCCCATGTTCCTAACTGTCCGTAGGGAACAATTCATTCGCTTTCAATTTATAATTTTTGGCGACTGGGGATGCTCTTTTGGGCCTCCTAGTCCCAGCCGTTGAATATTAATTATAACAGAAACTCTCGATATGAAGACGGATTTTTCTCGATCCTATTAAGGGTTTTTCTTTCCTTTTATATTCTGAATTATGGCCATTTTTCATACTCATTAAATCAATTTTTCTTAAACGATTATATTCATTTTGTCTGAGATAATTATCATTATGTTGCATCCAAAATAAGATGTATATGTAACGGCCAAAAGTCAATGATGATACTTGAACTATAATAAAAACGATCCCCGCCATTATGCCCGCCACTACTATCATAACTCAGATTTATTGTAAAATTCAAAGTTGAATTTTTTTTTATGTCATAACAAAAAACATGTTATTTATCTATTTATGTATTTATCTTTTGTGAACAGACAGACGAAAATTAAAAATCGATAAATAAGAAATATTTTTTAACAATCGTAACTACTTGTTAAATATTTATTTTCTTAAGATGATTGTTTTTTTTTTTTTTCATTAATNGTAATTTATTGGTGCTTCCATTTTGTCCAATCCCTGTCTATATATATATATATATTTATTTATTTATTTATTTATTTATTTATTTATTTACTGTCCCCGGCGCTAAATTATTAGATTCACTGTAGTGTTAATTGCATGTTTTGCACGAATTTATATGCAATACTTTTATATTTAAACAAACATGTAATGGGTCTTAATTCAAGAGATTTTTCATATACTTCCTATTCGTATTTATTTTTAACGTATTGCATTACAATGTGAACCAATTTATACACGAACATTAGCAAGTATTAACCGGTTTCAGCCGCATAAAAACAATAAGGCTGTATAGTATCACCTGATAATTAAGATGTCACATAAAATCTTATAGTGCGTCTAATAATTTGGCCAGGGACTATATATATATATATATATGAGGTCTCTAATATGCATACTTGACTTAATTCTCTAATATGTGTGCTTTGAAAATTGTTAAATAGTAAATTGATCTAATCTAATTAATAAAGCTTCCCCTGTTTCAATTCTTACTTTTTTTGAAATATCTGGCATAGCATGGAGCACATCCTGCAATTCCTGTGTTATTTGATATAATGTGCAATCCTCTACTCTGCATAGGATTGAGATTTGAATAAGCATCTATTGAACTTCCTTTTGGTCGAATATCTAAATCATTTGATAAAATTCTAAAGGAAAAAAATAATTATATGTATTTTTATGCCTGGGTTTCTGAAAGCATTATTCTGAATTAATATTTTGCCAAAAAATTAAGTGAAATATAAATTAATATTTAAAAAGGAGTAATAAAAAAAGTGATTATTGAAGTCAGTGATTAGTAATAAAATGACAGTTGATTTTCTGTAGTTGCTATTTCTATTGACACTTGGATCAACCATTGGCGTTGTGAATTAAATGAATTTCATTTGACACCACTAAGGTGAAAGTGAGGGACAGCATCTCCAATTTAAACTTAGATCTGAAAGAGAAGGAAATTTTCTCTAGATCCGTCTGGAACTGCTCAGCAACCGACCATGTAACTTTCAAATCAAAAGATTTTACTTGCACGTATATCGTATGTATTTGGTAGGTCTTAGCGGCTGTTGAAGGTCGACCCCTCAGAACCGACGCTCTAACCACTGAGCCATCACGACCCTTTGATTTTATAAGGCGCCATTTTCTTAAACATAATTCTTCAATAATAATTTTTTTCAGATATTAATGTGTGACCTCTAATATGTATTGTTTATTAGGGTAACACGAAGTAACTTGGACTAAGTTTAAGTGTTATACATACTTATTTCAGAATACCTTAGTCACTAAAATTCTTCAGAAACCAAAAGTGGATCTTCCAACATTACTCTGTTCCACACCACAGAGCAAAAAGCACTCAAAACTATTTTCTGATTTTCTTCCAGCACAAATTTATTCACTTTATTTACCAGACTTGAATGTTTCGCAATTAATCGAATTAAGTTAAAGTTTCGTACTTGCAAATAATTTTCCTCACACTCAAAAGCAAATATAACTATTCATTAGAAAAATTCACTAGTTTTCAAAGTAACCCCTTTCACAAATTAAAAGAAGCACAACTAATAAGCAATTATGCAACTAAAAATTCAAGAAAACATAATAATATTTTTTTTAATTCCCAACTACACTGAAAAAAAATTGGGAAATCTAGAACCAGTATTTGGTGCAAAGTTTTTCATTATCCCAAAATTTAGTTAAATAAAATATTTTATTTGAGCTATACCATAAAATGTGAAGTATGATCGAGAAATACTTCCATGGTGCAACTAACTGCCCCAAAATTTGGTTAAAGACACAAAACTTTGACAGTGACTGAACGATATTTGTTTACGGCTACATGTTTTCGGTGCATCGGGACGACTAACGTATTTGTGTCAAGTTTATACTTATTTAGATAGGTAAATGGCCTATTTTTCATTTCTTTCATGTTACCTTATTAAATTTAGTTGGTTGTATAAAATGGTTAGAGGTCATAAAATAACTTTACTATTTACAACTCGGTCTCGGTGTATCGGGACGACTAATGCAATTTGTTTCAACTATCAACTTATTTAGGTAGGTAAATGTTTTATTTGCATTGATTAAAGTTCATTTCTTTTAACTTTCTTTTACAAATTTTGCTAGCGGTATAAAATGTTTAGATATGTGTCATAAAATAACCTATTTACAGTAAATAGCTTTGTTACAGTAAATAGCTACCTTAGCCTGCATTTGAATGCTTTAAAAATACTTAATAATGGTGTAACATTTCTTTGATTTTTAGAAGAAACAAGAAAAAAGTATGAAAATAGGTGTTCTTCAAAACACCTACTTTAGGTGCAACCTTCAACTGATATTTGGAGCTAGTGAAAATACCTAAATATGATAAAATTCACCTCGATTTTATGTAGCCAGCAAATAATTTTCGGTGCAACGTGGTTTACGAATTTTGAGTGGTTTGCCGTCCTAAATTGCGATTTTTCTTTGTATAAACACTGATCATTCTTCTAAAGGACTTCAATTTTTGTCAAATTCAGACTAGCTTAAAAAGTCATTCAAAAAGCTCGTGTATATTATTTTTTGTGATATTAGTAATTTATTTATCATTACAATGCAGCAATTTTAATCAAAAGAAAAACCTATGATGGGGAACTTCGTAAAAGCAAACGTAGAGCGAAATTTAAGATACTTACAGTGGTTCAAATGGTAAAATACTTATACAACTTATACAACTGCATCAACAAGACTATGTGTGCACACTTTTTTATAAATGCCAGGATTACAAAACTTTGATTCATATTTCTTTTTTATGATTTAGTATGAGAGTAATACAATAAAGCCCCCTCTCTCATTTATACGTCTTTTTCATATACACATCCTTTCTTTGCATTTCCATTTTATTCTTAAACCATGCAATGTTAAAATAATTCATTTCGGCGACGAAAAAAAATATTAATCTTTGGTTATACGTCGGTTTTTACCGTTGCCGTCTTTTATCACAAATAAACACATAAATGTTTAGCCTGGATTCAAGAAACTTGAATTGAATTTCCAATTATAATCTACATTTTCTCACCTAAATTTCGAACTATATAGAAAGATTTAAATACATTTAGGGGAGAGTCGGGTACCCCCGCCCACTGTCAATTTCATATGTATAGAATATTTTTTCAAGTCAATGGACCATCGGACATTAATTGTTATATTAAAACGAGATTATTTTCAAAATTTCAAGTATTTATGCAGCTGTTAACATGGTAAACAATAGTTTTGAAAATATGCTGAATACAGTAGTCGTGAAATTAAGAAAAATTGGTTGAATGTTTCGATTAAACTTCATTTTAATACTAAAGAAATAATTTTTTCTATACATACAGCATTAAAGTATGTAGTCTTAAGTTTAATTGGCACAAGGAAAGAAGTCTATATGTGAAAAATTGTTCGAGTAATTACAAATTTACAAAAAAATTGGATTTCGGGTAGCCCCGCTCACATGAATGTGGGGTATCACCGCCCAATTTTATTTCGTCGATAAATGTACGGTTGCAAAGATTATTATTTTATTGCTTCAAATTTGAATGTTATATGCATTTTTAACAACAAATATTGTTGCTATTAAATGATTGTTATTAAATGATAGAATTCACTAAAAGTATATAAATATGTAATAAATAAAATAATTTTGTGATAAAAATGATAAACGAGGTTTATCTATTGTCAATAAATTGGTCATTTTCATTTACACCTGAAAAAACAGTAAAAAAACACAATTTTTGTAACTGGGCGGGGCTACCCGACACATTTTGAAAAGACCTGAAAAACATGTTTTTTTAAATTTCTATTTTTTTAAGTTAAACTACTCTTTTTTTGGTTTATTCTTTTTGCATTATTTAATTAGATGATAAAACAATAGAAACATGCAAAAATATTGATTATTACTCAATATTATACAGAAATATAAGCAATACTCCTTAAGTGGGCGGGGCTACCCGGCTCTCCCCTATGTACTCAAAATTTAAATAAAAGTTTTTTTCTTCACTTTTGTGACATATTTTTTGTTTACCATTTCAGTTACAACTAAACTGGTGTAAGATATGAAGAGAAATTGCAGACTCGGTCGATTATCTTGAGAACTACTGAACTGATTTTATATTGATAAAATATTGATAAAATACATAACAAAAAACCATGCAACAATTGTAATACACACGTATGATCGTGCGTAACACTGGATATGAAGCTGCGGCTCCAGAATAAACCAAAAATAAAAAATGGATTAATAGGGTCCCCTCTTACAGATAAACAGGCCTTGCAGCGTGATTTCATACTTGAAATAAAGCAGTGTATCATTTCCTGTGGCAATTGGCCTGAATTGTTCTGTTGCAATTTCATACCTTCCGACTCCAACGAGAGATAATCGACCAAGTCTACAAAATCTCTTCATTTGTTACACCAGTGTACATCACATATATAGGTCAGGTATATCACGTATACAAAAAACAATATTATTATTGTTGTTAAGTACTGACATTAAGTATTGATATTAAGTAATATTGATATTAAGTTATATTAAGTTATCTAATGTAATTATACGTCAGTTTCCTGAAAAACGCATTAACGGTGTTTAATTGTATAATAATGACTCTCTAATGCTACGCTAATTTGTAATGAACTTAAAATGTAACAACATGCATGTTCATAATATAGAAGACAGGTGGTGAGTAATTTAAATTTAGTTTATCGCATACAATTTTTTAGGATGAAACATACCCTAAGAGTTCAATTTGCAGCCTTTTTTGTTCTTCGTTAGGTTGCCAATCCAGAACAGCAAAAATATCAGTTGGTGTCTCGCATTTTTCTATAAAAAAAGAATATGATTACGAATCATTAACCTGTATCATAAAATCTCAAAATCATGTAGTTGTTGCCATCTTCAAAAATGCCAACAATAAAATGATAAATTCTTTGAAATCCTACTTTAAGTTGGGGAAATTAGTAAAGAAGAAAATTTTATTCAGTACATGTCTTACTTCATTTTAACTCCACAATATATTAAACAATATTAAAGCTCTATTTAAGCAATTGTATTGTGAAAAAAAAGTTCCCTTTTTTCTACATAAAATTAGTTTTAAACCAGTTTTTTGTTTCAAGGAATTTAACAAAATATTCAAGTTTAGTAAATGTCACATACATTTCAATTTTTATTTGATTTTTTATTTTGCTTACTTAATTTTTTATACTATGCTTTTCTTTAAAGTCTGGAATAAAATTCTCTTACATGAATTAAAGCAGTATTTCTTAATATAATTTAATAATATATTATATAATATAATTTAAGTACACGAATATATAATTTAAAAAGGAATTTTGTTATGACGAGCGCATTTCAAAACTAACACTTGAAACATTAACAACAATCATCATCATCAATGGCTTAACAGCCCAGGATGGGTCTTGGCCTTCTCAATAAGTTTTTTCCAGACTAACCTCTTCCTTGCCAGCGTTTTCCAGTTTTTAAGAGCAAAAGGTATTTTTGTAGGCAATCTATATATCTTGTGCCAACTGTTGTGTGATTGAAAACGCTTTTTGTAGCTTCAGTCTTGTTAATATTATCAGAGCTCTAAATTTGTTCTTCTAAGCCTCTAAAACTCAAAGGTACAAAACCTCATGTGTACAATTAATAAAATGCCCAAACAAAATCTGCTCAAAGTCTAATCGCTTCAGTAGAATTTCCAAAGACACTCTCCTCCAACTCATTTCAGTAAGAAAAGATGCGACACTTTATACTACTCTAGCAAATTAAATAGATTTTCCCTGCACTCGAAAGAGAGAATTTAGGACATCCTTCTACCAAAAATAGTATCGTTGGATGACAACTCCTGATCAAAGAAACTCGTAGACAAGAAATCTCTTCTTTCTCAGATATCCTTTTGAAAAAAGAATAGAAGAAAGGTATTTTCATGACAGCTGTCAAACCCATCAAAAATTTCATTAGAATCATTTTTGGTCTAATTATAATCAATAAGAAATGTTTCTGAATTATTGGTTTCAAAATCTAGTAATATTTATTTATATTTATAACCGTCGTCGAACAGCTGACCCATTTTTTTGGTTTTACGACTACTTATGCACAAGTCCGTAGCCATGCGATTTTGAACTTACTCCAGAAGACAAGTAAACTCCTGGATCAAGTATTAGGAGAAATTTTTGTATTTGTGGAGGACTTTTTGATGGAACTAACCCGCATTTGCGTTATATGGAGGGGAAGACCACGAGAGCCTCCCACGGGTAGCCTGACTGCAAGGGGACTCTAACCCATGATCCGTCTACCACTGAGGATATTTTACCTCAGGTTCACCTTATTGGAAGGTGAGCGCTCTATCTCCTTCATCATAACGAATTTATTGTGCATATTTGTACAAAATTACATTCCCTGGCCAAATTGTTAGACGCACTATAAGATTCTATGTAAAATCTTAATTATCAGGTCATACTATACAGCTTTATTGTTTTTAAGCGACTGAAATCAGTTTTCAATTGTTTACCTTCGTGTATCAATTGGTAAAATTAGACAATATATAATATAAATTCGACGATTGAATAAAATAAACTATATATTCCATAAATATAAAATAGATATTATATCAGGTATTATATTAGTATATTATAATAATTAGACCGAATTATTATACTCACTGTCTTGTTTTATTAATTGCATGCTTTACGCTAGTTTATACGCAGTACTTTTATATTTAAACAAACATGTAATGGGTTTTTATTCGGGAGTTTTTTTATAAACTTCCTATCCGTATTTATTTTTAACGTATTGCATTGCAATATTAACCAATTGATACACAAACGTAAAAAAAGTATAAACCGGTTTCATTCGCGTAAAGATAATAAAGCTGTATAGTATGACCTGATAATTAAGATTTTACATCAAGTGCGTCAAATAATTTGGCCAGGGACTGTAATATTTAAAAATGTTATAATAAATCTTCTTGCATACTTACCAGCAACTCTGCCGCACAAGTTTGGTTCATCTGAAGAAAAAACAAAACTTTAGTTTTGAATCATTATTAATTGTTTCAAAATAATTTAAAAGGCTTACGTACCAGCATTTTCATTGAATATTTCTGTTGATCCCTGGATGTTTGATAATATTTCATTAATTTCACTCACAAGATCATCAGTTTGTGAATTTTTCGGCAAATTCGTATAAAACTTCAAATAATTCAATGTTTCTTCCCCTAAGGTAGTGAAAGTACGAAATCTTTCAGATCTCCTGCACCATTGATCGTCTGTCTTCATATCAGCTTTTGATGATGTTGTTTCGTCCAAAAGTCCAGTAGGTCCATAATACATTCGAAGAATTTCACTTAATCTTATCTGTCTAAAATAATTTTGATTTTCTTCTATCTTTTTACCAATAATCAAACCTGTTAAGCAAGCATAATAGTGTTAATGCATTAAAAGAAAAATTTTAAAAAATTGAAGAACGTTAAACCTTAGCAATAACCTGATTCAATCCTTGCAATGGTCTCATCTAAATTCCTAAATGGTGGCAACTATATGAAGCTCTACAAGGAACTTTCCTACCATAACAGAACACATTTTTCTATACTGATTGACGCATCTAACCAAATAATTCTCGCATAACCGTCTGATTCATCGATCGTTAAGACACAATTCCCATTAGATTGAAGCAGGACTGGTCATATTTGACTGTAATCTGTCGGTCCTATACAATGTGCAGAAGAACTGAAAATGCTTGTGTTTTCAGTCTGTTTTTGCTGCCACAATTAGAGTAGGAGTGAATTACACTGGATAGGTCTCTTTTACACACAAAACACTACAACGTTCGATAACAAAATTCAAATTATTTTCATATTTTTTCAGTCATAATGTTACAATAATTTTGAATTTTTAAAATAAACTGTTTCAAAGTTATTTAACACTCTACTTAAAAGTTCATAGCAAATACGTATCTGTCTTTGTACTGTATGGTACACTTTTCTATTTTTAATGTAACGATGAGCCTTGTTCATCTTTGCATCGTTATCTATATCATTAGAAAGAGCTTTTGAGATAAGCACTGTATAAAAAATATATAGTACACTTTACATATTGTAGTACATATATAGTACACTTTATATAGTATACTTTCGTATTTTTAATGAAACGATGAGCCTTGTTCATCCTTGCATAGTTATCTCTATCATTAGAAAAAGCGTTTAAGATGAGTAATGTATAATAACGTTTTTTTAATTTGTCTGTATAAGAAATTATGACTGATAAAAAGATTTAAATACCAAAGCCCACTGCCTATATCTCCATGTTTTGTGGATGTCAGATTTCAGAGAAAACATAGCTTGTAGATATGTCATCCTGATCAAATTTATTAATAAGCAAAAATATCAACAATTGAATTGATAATTCAATTGAATAATTATATGCTGAGTAATTTTCTTTGTATATTCATAAGCGTATACATATTTGTGTAATTTCAATGGATGGTCCAATAAATTAGACAGTGGTTACTCATTATTAGTTTGATACATTTAAAAATTTCATGTCAGTCGTTATTTTTATCTTATAACTACTATATAACTCTCTCACTGATTCAATTTGCACTAAATTAAGGTGTTGCTTGAACATAAATTGTTTCATCAAAATATTGCAGATGCAATTAGATTTTAAATTCGTATCTTAATGTTTTACAGTTTTCACTTAATTCTGCAGTATTCTGTTGAAGAATCCTGTGAAATTATTATCGAATTAAAATTATTTCTACTCGACTTCCATATAAACATGGGTAAAATTTCACATAAACGGATACTATATTTTTTGATTTAATTCTGAATTGCTATATTCCTTGATGATGCATATTCCTGAAATTAAACATATTTTTTCTTCAAAAAATTTTAAGCTGTTTAAAATTTCTTCGCACTCTTTTTTCCCCATAAATTGCGAATTTCCTACTATGAAAGTTGATAATACGAAGTTGATGGTTAAGCTTAAACTAAAAAGAACTTATTTCCATACAAATATCTGTAATTTTCAGATGAGAACTACTTAATAAAAAATTGGTATAGTAAAAGTTAAATTATGAATTCATTGGTCAGTAAGAATTTTCAATAAAATAGCAATCTGATTAGATGTGAATCATATCAAAAAGGGAGAAAAATTTTAAAAAAAAGTTTTTTAATTTGTTTATACTGTTGTTAAAGAACTTTACAGAAGGCGTCAAAAAACTTTTTACTTACAGAGTGCACTATGAGCTAAAGAGGTTGGGAATCTATAAACTAGATACTAAGTTAAAACCTACGTGTCAAATACACTGCTGACTAAGTGAACCAATTTTATTTATTTTTTATGGCGTCACTTTATTGATGTCATATTTCGAATTTATTTTTTAATAAACTTTTGTTAAGGAACTTTCATATTGGGAGGGAAAAAAATATTTGACTTACAGAGTGGACTGTAAGCTAAAAATTTTGAGAAACGTAAGCTAGATACTAAGTTAAAACCTACGTGTCAAATACACTGTTGACTAAATGAACTAATTTTATTTATTTTTTATGGCATCACTTTATTGATGTCACAATTCGAATTTAATTTTTAAACTTTCGAGCTAAAAAGGTTGATAAACGATAAGCTGGATAGTAAGTTAAAACCTACGTGCCAAATACACTGTTGACTAAATGAACCAATTTTATTTATTTTTTATGGCATCACTTTATTGATGTCATAATTCGAATTTAATTTTTAAACTTTCGAGCTAAAAAGGTTGAGAAACGATAAGCTAGATACTAAGTCAAAACCTATGTGTCAAATACACTGTTGACTAAATGATCCAATTTTATTTATTTTTTATGGCATCACTTTATCGATGTCATAATTCGAATTTATTTTTAATAAACAATTTTATTCTTAATATAAATAGTATTATGCCTTACCATCAATGGCGCCCCTGAGAAGGGAGTTTGAAATAAGGCGCCTGTTGTTGTCTTCTAACAAATATTCCACAGTACACGATGCCTCAGTCCAATCTCCATTTGGCATGAAAGACACCTCACTTTTTTTACGATTTGGATCTTTTATATAAAGAGTTATCAAATCTAAAAATAAAATATTACATACATAAATTCTCAGAAATATTAATAAAAATTTACACAAATTTAGCGAAAAATTTAAATGACTCTTACATCAAAAACAGGATGATATCTATAGATTTAGTGCTGTCGAAAAAAGTGTTATTTTTTACACACTATAGTGTCGTGCTGAAAACTTTTTATCGTGTGCTTAAAACTCCATATACGGCAACTAATTTAAAAACTCATAAGTTTGAAGGTTTAATAGAGTGCAGTTTATTTAATCTTTTTCTTACGGCTCCTGAAAGCACTTGCTATTCTGAATCATCATTTATACCAGCCGTAAGCAAAAGGTTAATGAAAAGGCATTTTTTCAGAAGATTGAGCTTTTCAAGGATGAATTCAAACTAGATTTGACAAAGCAGAAGTTTAACCTTTTGCTTACGGCTCCTGAAAGCACCTGCTATTCTGAATCGTCAGTTGTCCCAGCCATAAGCAAAAGGATAATGAAAAGGCATTTTTTCAGAAGATTGAGCTTTTCAAGGATGAATTCAAATTAGCTTTGACAGAGCAGAAGTTTAACCTTTTGCTTATGGCTCCTGAAAGCACCTGCTATTCTGAATCATCAGTTGTCCCAGCCGCAAGCAAAAGGTTAATGAAAAGGCATTTTTTCAGAAGATTGAGCTTTTCAAGGATGAATTCAAACCAGTGGCGTAGTGAGGGGTGGGCAATGGGGGTCATCATGCCCCGGGCGCTACTCACAAAGGGGCGCCAAATGGTCCGCTTTTTATG